AGGGTGTCTGAAACCCCAATGGTAGGAGGTAAAGACAGAAAGATTTTCAGAGGTTCACTGTTTAGCCAGCTTTGTCAATTGGTGAATTCCAGATTCAATGTGACACCCAGGCTCATAGAGGTAAGGTGGGGAAAGATAGCGGAAGATATCTAAGGAATCTTCCAGCCTCCACAGTGAATACAAGAGTATTTGCACATGCAGTGTATACATGCATACAACACATACATGAACACACACACCTATTTACGCTCAAAAGAAAATTAGCTTTGTGTGAACTTTATGGTGAGTCCCTGGAAGACCCCACCAAAAATGTGTATTTGTTTTCCCAAACAAAGTGGGTGAGGATATTCAGTGAAATCATTTCCAGGCAGAGGCTTTAGGGTTTAGACTTTCTCAAGGCTACAAAAAACTATTCGGAGTGAACTATGAACTAATCACAAAAACTGTGAGGGAAAGCTGGAGAAGGGGTTGTACAAGAGTTGTGGAATGCACTGGCATATTTCTTGGAGTCTTTAAGGTCACATACTGCCAAAGTTGTATGTGTGTTTAGGAGACACCTAAACAAAATCCGATGTTCTCACTTCTGCTTGTCCTTAAGAATCTATAGGATTCTTCTTTGAATGTTGATAAAACAGGGTTCATGTGTATTGAACTATATACATGGAGCTGCTTGTAGAAGATTAAATTCTTTTCATTTTTAGGCATTTAAGGAAAGCTCTGTGAATTCAAAAGATAGATGTATATCAATCTAACAAACAGAGTTCACTGGTCCCAAACTAAGATGTGAATACAAATACATAGATGATGTTAAGACAATACCCAACAAAACAAAAAAGCAAAGCTGATGTTTGACACGAAAGAGGCACTCAACAGGATCATCCTTTAACAATTCTAAATAATGATGGAGACCCAAAGACACTGAGATCTCATATTCAGTGTGCTGAAACAAACTGTCACCCAATAACTCCAATCAAAACTAAATTTATTAATGTAAGCAAAAATGAAATATTCTTCTAATCAGAATAGTGACAAAATAAAATAATGTAAATATATGAAATAAATATATCTATGTTGTGCCAGATTTTATTCTCAGCATCTACTTCACCTCAAATATAAAAAAAGTAGAGTAAATATTGTCATTAGCAGACCTTGAGCAGAGTATCATCAAACTGAATGAAAACAGGATAGATAATAACTAAAATCAACAGAAGAAATAATAAAAAATCAACAGTCAACATTGCTCTGTGAATGATGTAAAAACTAGTAAATATGTATTTTTCCTTTAGCATCTTGTTTGTCTAGATTTTGAAGTGAAATACAATGTGAGAATTATATATGTATATAAACAAGCATAGAAAGATAATGGTATAATTGGTGATAAAATTACAGTAAGCCAAAATACATATGCTGTTGATATTTAGTTGGCTTTAATGTAAATTATATTAATACAAATTTTAGTGCCCAAGATAACCACTAAGAAAACAGTTAAAAATCAATGTTAAAAAGTATCGTTTTGTTATGTTTCTTTTAACAAAACGGTCATCCATGAACTATAAATAGAGCATTCACTTTTGAAATCTGAATGTCTAAGATGAGGTGGGTCCATTTGCTTAGTTTCTAGTGAAGGCCTAATGGCATATGACATCAGAATGGTTAAGAGTGCTTCCTGGAAGAAAAAAAAAAATCGATGATGAGACAGAAAGCCAGGGCTATTCAAGGACATGGTTGGAACCCTCTCTCTCGCCCTGGGACATGCACTCCCTGTCCTCTCTCCTCTTTTTTCTTATTCAGCCTGTCTTTGCAGTCTTACCCTCTCTTTCTCTTACTGGCTTGGCCTCAATCCGACTCTCCCATGCATTATCTTAATGCATTCTGTGAGTTCTGTCCATGTAGCCCAGTCCTTGTCAAACTGTCCCTTTCTCTAAGAAATTCAATCACTTCAACCATATTGAATTCCATCACTTCAACCATATTGTAGATTCCAGCATCTAAAATTTGAAGTACACTGAAATAATACCCAAACTGTAGTTTAAAACAAAAGAAAATTAATGTGTTGAACAGTACTGTAAGGAAAATGTCATTTCATTTTTGTTTTTTGTTTTGTAGGCTTATGCATAGATATAGTTCTGCATTTGCATGTATCCATTTGTCCATTTGAGCAATGCTGAAAGAAAATATCAGTCCACCTAACATCTTTAGATGTATTGCTTTGAAATCATATGTTTGTATTGTAAAAGTCTATTTTTAAAATGTTTTTTTCACTCTATTTTTTAATTAAAGAAATTAACATTCACTTTGTAAACCCCCTCTTCGTCCCCTCTCTCCTCCCCTTCCCATCCCACTCTCCCTCTTCCTTCTCCACGCATGCCCCTCCCCAAGTCTGCTGTTAGAGGAGGTCTTTCTCTCCTTCCTTCTGACCCTAGTCTATTAGGTCTCATCAGGAATGGCTGCATTGTCTTCCTCTGTGGCCTGGTAAGGCTTCTCCCACCTTAGGGGGAGGTGATCAAAGAGCAGGGCAATCAGTTCATGCCAGAGCCAGTCCCTGTTCCCATTACTATGGAACCCACTTTTAAAAATATTTTTAATTACACTTATTTACTATCTATTTGTGTGTGTGTGTGTGTGTGTGTGTGTGTGTGTGTGTGTGTGTGTGCATTTGTGAGTGCATATGCACAATAGCATAGGTTGAAGACAGCTTGTGGGAATTCATTCTCTTCTTCAACAATGAATCCCAGAAATTGCACACAGATTATCATCAGCATCAGACTTGATGGCAAGTACCTTTGTCCTCTGAGCCATCTTGCTGGCTTTCTGAAAGCATTTTTAATAATAACAACAGCCAGCAAGATTAGTTTATTTTCCACCGTCACTACCACATTTTATGCACTCACTCATGACTGAATGGAATAATTGCTGCTTTCTACTACTGATTTTCTTGTGCATGAGGGAGAAATGGTATTTTATCCCAAGGAAAAGTGAAACATAAAATAGTGCCCAAATCTTCAAATTACCAAAATCCAAGCACATTTCTTTTGTCTTAGTTAGGGTTATTATTGCTGTGATGAAAACACCAAGACCAAAACATCTTGAGAAGGAAAGGGTTTATTCGGCTTACTTTTCCTTCACTGTTCATCATTGAAGGAAGTCAGGACAGGAACTCCAACAGGGCAGAAACCTGGAGCCCGGAGCTCACACAGGCCATGGAAAGGTGATACTTCCTGGTTTGTTCTTCAAGGTTTCCTCAGCCCACTTTCTTATAGAACCAGGATTACCAGTCCAGGGATGGCACACCCACAGTGGGCTGGGCCTTCCCCATCAATCACTAATTAAGGAAGTGCCATAAAGGCTTGTCCACAGACAGATCTCATGGAGACTGTTTTTTTTTTTTTCTTTTAGATTTATTTCTTTTTCTCTCATATATTGCATCCTGACTACAGTTAACCGTCTCTATCTCCTCCCAGACCCACTTCTCACCTCTCCTTTACCCCATATCCAACCCTACTCTATTTTCCTTTAGAAAAGAGCAGGCCCACCAGGGTTATCAACTGAACATGGCCTAAGAAGTTACAATAAGACTAGGCACAAATTCTCATATCAAGGTTGGAAAAGGCAAACCATTAGGAATAAAAGAGTCCCAGGAGCAGACAGAAGAGTCAAAGGTACACCTGTTACCACTGTTATGAGTCTCACAAAAGTACAAAGTTACAAAACCATAACATACATGTAGAGGACCTAGCTTAGACCCTGTGAGCCCATAAGCCCTGGTTAGTTGATTATTCGGGTTGTGTTGTTATGGTATCCTTGAGCCCTCTGGAGGCATTTTCTAAATTGAGGGTCTCTTCTGTCAAATGACTTTAGCTTGCGTCAAGTCGACATACAGCTGTGTCACACAACTTCTTACTTCCTTTTTTTGTGCTGTAGATTAGACCTGTGGTCTTGCCCATGCTCGCTCCAGTATTGCTGTGTGACATCATCAAATTGTTTATTTCCTTTTTCTTTCAAATATCCCCCATATACAGTTAAGCTACTGTTGGACTTTCAGTTGATTATAGCCTTTACATGTGAGTTGCCTGCCACCAGAAAAAAAAAAAAAAAAAGCTATAAAAGAGAGGAAGTAGTTTTGGAGAGAAATGTCAAAATCTATAAAGTATCCTTTAATTTAAAATTTTAAAAATCTCACACATAGATACTCTATTTACATCATTTCCACCACTTCTTTTCACCCCTCAGGATTCTCTTGTATCCCCATTTCCTCTCATATTTATGATTTCGTTTTTAATCATTGTTTCATATGCACAGAGAGATGGAAGGGGAGAAAGAGAGAGCCTGTTGAGTCCATTTAGTCTTGCTTGTATGTGTATGTGTTTAGAACTGAACACTGAAGATTAGATTATCTGTCAGGAGCTTGTCTCTGAAGTCTGATTCTATTACTACAGCAGTGATCTCTCTATTTTCTTTTTTTAATCTTGGAATGGGACTTTATGATTCTTTTAAAGTTTGGTTTTATAAAGTTTTGTTCTTAATGGGTATATTTTATTTCAGACAAAGTTTAAGTGATGTTACCCAAAGCTAAGTAAGCAGAGTTAATTCCACACTTACACAGTGATACTTAAAATGAAAAAGAACATCTTAATTACTTCTCAATCATAACCCTGCTATAATTACTGTGTGGTTTGGTCAGGTGCTTTAGCATGATTCATCTAAACAAAACAAATCGGTATCATTATGAGGTATTGTAGATGAGTTTTTAAATTAATGCTGATGAGTAATAGGTCACTCTAAAGGGCCTGTGTTCTGTCATGACTAATAGTGCTTCAGTATTAGCAGTCTTTTTAAATATCAACTGTATTTAAGAGAAAATGGAATAAATGCAGAATAAAGTGAAAAGCGTAGGCGCTTTCGGTGGATAGCAATGACAGAGAGAAAGGAAAGAATAACTTTGGGATACTCTCTTTTCTGATCACTGACTGAGCCTCTGGTTCCTGTCCCTTCTTTTACAGGGGTGACAACTGTTCTAACAATGACAACACTAAGCATCAGTGCTCGAAATTCTCTCCCCAAAGTGGCTTATGCCACTGCCATGGACTGGTTTATTGCTGTTTGCTATGCATTCGTATTCTCTGCCCTAATTGAATTTGCAACAGTCAATTACTTCACCAAAAGAGGATGGGCTTGGGATGGGAAGAGCGTAGTAAATGACAAGGTAAGCTCTCTTTTCATCTTATTTAAGAGGATTTTGCACACATACAAGCTTCTGGCAGAATTCCTCCTAAAATTTGATATTAAGAAGAAAGGTATTAGCTGGGCACAGTGGCACACACCTGTAATCCCAGTACTCCGTGAGGCAGAGGCAGGCACATCTCTGAGTTTGAGGCCCACTTGGTCTACAAAGTGAATCCTTGTCTACAAAGCAAGCTAGGGCTACACAGAGAAACCTTGTCTTGAGAGAGAGAAAAAAAAAACAGAAAAAAACATACAACAAGTATCAATTTTTGAAAGTTTATTCTTGCCTGAAATCCACTAAGGGTGCTTTTTAATAGCAACGCTTCTTAAAACCTCGCCTTAGCACCTGTGCAGGTGTATATCTCGTGGTGTTGTGTGTGACAATGGGGACTGCCTCTCCATCTCTGAAGTAAGCAGGGCCTTTTCTTAATCCTAATCATCCATTCTGAAGAATCTCAAGCTTATTAAAGCTGTTCATTGGCTCCAGCTCATAAAATGACGAGTAAGTTGATTGGAACCTGTGTCTGTCTGCTCAGGAAATTCATGCCTTTAGTCTACCAGCAATATATTATGATAAAGCTTTGAAAAAAAAAAGCGAGCATTAATTTCACCAACTGAAGACTTTATGGCTCTGTCAGTGTGTCGGTGACTCTTCATGCATCCATACCTCTATTACTACTTTGTAAAAGTGGAGGCACTATTTTCCATTTTCATATCATATGAAGTAAATATGTGGATACTGAAATATTTAAGGAATTTAAATTGCTCATGTGGTCTAATTGGGAAAACACTTTTAATATTAATCTTTAAGATTATTGATAGATACCTTTTCATATTTCAAGTACTGGGAGGCTAATGGGTATTTGTGTATAGATATGCCGGTAGTTTTTTTTTTCCCCTAATTTTATAAACTGATATATGACTTAGGAAAAGGCTTTGTATATATTATAATGTGATATAACTCATTTTAGAACTAGAAGAAACTTCTATTTGCAATATTTTGAATACTATATTATATATTTTTTCATAAATTTGAAACACTTGTTGTGGTTTGATTTTTGTCTCAGTTATTTTAATGTATGTAAATATTTATATATTTACATGTTACACTTTGATGACACAGAGACTGAATGTTATAGCTCTATCTTCTAAACAAATGTTCTATTTTCTCTTTCACAAACTATCGAAGTTCTAATTATAGTAGCTAGTTCATCTATAAGTTGTGTTTGGCCACTAACAGAAGTAGTAATGAAAAGGACTTAATCAGTTTTCTATGCTTAACTTCTGGTTGATTCGAGCATTTCCATTACATTTCAATGTTCATTTGTTCAGTTTCATTTTCCATATAGTGAATTGCTTTTCATTTTGTTTATCTGTGTACTTCACTTTAGCTATATTGGTATATATGTACACTTTCTCAATAGACGACATGGCTAGGAGAGCACACCATAGGCTCTTTTAAAGGTTTTGTTGAGTAAAATATTTTTATTGTAAATATTGCAATACATTGATGAGAGAACCTATTTATCTTAACTGAAAGGTATGAAAAATTTTATAATAGTGGGTTTACAAGTGTACTCCATTCACTTTCTTTATTAAAATGAAATTGGAGATATGTTCCCTTAACTTACCTTTAAAATAAGTAGGTTCATAGAGCTGAAAAGAAATCAAGTAGAGTGCCATGAGGTGACCAGCTTCCCAGAAGACACTTTGCTAAATCCTACCTTCTGCTTTAGTTTTCATGAGATTTAATTTTTAAATAATAGTTAATTCAATTTCAATAATAATGGGAAATAATAGTTTTCTTCAAATACAGAGGTTTTGTCTATTCGCGGTCAGTTGTCTGCAAGCAGTCCTTTGCTTTGGCATTTGTAAACTTGAGTAAATGCAGTTGTATTGTCAGTCAGTACAAAGAACATCCAGAGCTTAATCAATGTTTTATAAAATACAAAAAATAATTGCCGTATTAAAAAACACTTAGAGATGCACGTCTATACTATGTGTTGAAAACAAGAAATGTGTCTGTAAATTTATATGTCTGGAACTTAGACTTTACATACAAGATTATGAACAAATGATATTTAATGATTTTTTTTTTTATGTTTCAGCTACTTTTGAGCCCTAAGATCTTGATAGATCTTTATACCATGTTTAGCCTCACTTGTGGCATTAGTGAAGAAAACTTCATTCTAAAAGTATACATCCAGACAAAGGGGTCAGATTTTAAAAGAACACATAGGTATCTGTTTATAGAACACCCAAGTACTTCTAAAAGACTCCATACTCTATGGCTCTTCTCTAGCCTTACCGGAACTAATCTTCCACTTCTGTTGCTGACGCCTCTCCTGTTGCTTTCTAAAACTTATTCCATCCATTGTTATTAGTTTTATTTGGTGAAAATTGCTTTTTGCCATTTAACTGCCTCATTCATATTTTCCTGTTGAGAGACTTAGTTAACTTGTCATAAAGCAAATGAGGACCAACCCCAGATCTACACCATCACACCCTCCCCAGAATTGACACTCCTTTCACCACCCAAAATTTCTGAAATGAATTCTCCCCTGTTATTCTTTTTACTTCAGGTCTTAGTCCTCTGTATCCTTAAATTCTTTCCTTCACTGCCTCATAACTGGTGTTCCCTAACTTAATACCGTGTGAACTTTTCCATCTCCCTTTTGGATTCTTTCTGAGCCTTCCGCTGCTATGCTGAGGACATAGTCCTGGGTCCAACTCGACGTTTTCTCTTTTCATTAAGAAATGCTTTAGTAATGTCAGCATCCTTTGCTCACACCCTGGCAGCTACCACAATCCATTCCACCCTGTGAAGTCCTTTGCCACAATCAGAACGCATCAAGTTTCTCCATCGTGGTCATGTTCCCCGGAAAAAGTCATGTCAGCCTTCTTTGATGCTTTTGTTAGTTTCTAATTGTTTGCAATGTAGTTCTCAATGTCAAAGTTGTACTGAAAATATTTGCAGAAATATCTACAACAGTAGACACATCATCAATTCATTTATTGTCAAAAATCATGTAGTCCTTGCTCATTGACACAAAGTTCAGTTTTTACTATTTCTATTGAATATTATTTCCAATATTATTGGGTTCCATTAAGAGTATGCATGCTTTCCTGAGTTTTGGAAAAGCCTTATCATTTTTCATAACTGAATATTTGCACCTTAAATCTGCCTGTCATCATAATGACCCCATAGTTATTTTAATAAACCATTTACTTCTGGGAAGTTTCAAAATATCTTACATGCCATATATATTCAGTAAATGTGGCATGAATTATTGAAATATTACTAATTAAAAAAAATCTATAACCAATACGCTTGTCTTGTGGTTTACAATAGACCAAGAATTTAATAGTTCAGGTCTGACCCTGAACCATATCATTTTTTTTATCTCCCAGCATCATATACCCATCTCCTTCCCTAACCATTTCCACCTGCCTCTAACACTGTAACCATTGAGAGGTGCAGATGCTGAGATATGTCCAGTCATTTCCAAATTTGTGATAAAATGTCAAGAACTGGAGCTGGAGAAATGGCTCAGGAGTTAAGAACAGTGGCTGCTCCTCCAGAAGAACAATGCTTGGATTCCCAACATCCACATGTTGGTTGACAACTGTCTGTATCTGCAGTATCAGGGGATCTGACACAACTCTTAGTGGCCCCCTAAGGCACTGGAAATACAAGCAGTAAACCTGGATACACATGGGGAAAAAAAGACACCCATACACATAAAATAAATAAGTAAATGTCTTTTAATAAAAAAAGTACTCAAGGACTTAGAAAGTTGAGACAGAGTAACTGCTTCTGTTATGTGACTGATAAACTGTTTGTACCCCATGGGAAAATCTCTTGACTCAATATTCTTAACAGTGAAAGGGCACCGGTATCTTCAACTCAGATTCACTCAGGTGTTCTCAGGCACTGGAATTCCTAGTGTTAGTGTGTAACTATGATGTCTGTAAATGTGTTACAAATAGGCAATAATCTAATAATTACAAAACATGGATAATAGCAACTCTACTCTCTCTTCCAAAAGACAAAGATAACATCAACAGGCAAACAAAGAAAATCAAACCTCATGCTATTCTCTGTTCATGTTCTTCTTTCTATGCTCTTATCTAGGTATTTACCAGAAATTGATACCAAAGTCAGGGGCATGACAAAATGTTACATTCCAACAAGCAGGGAACATTTTCCAGTTTCTGACATTAACTCTTGCTTGTTATCTGTCTTAAAAATCTCATGATGTAACTCACTGTTATTTTATCTATTTACTGCTTCTGCTTTTTAAACATATTTTAAGTACACATCATCATCTTAGGGTTAAATAAACATTAGTGCAAATTACTTAACTTTTCAGTTCTATAATGAATTATCGAAGGTAGAATTCTAAGACTAATATGTTCCAAATATGTCATTTACTCATAGATTTTCTTACATGATGAGAGATTAGTAGAATTTTCTAAAAGTATTATGAATTTATATGCCTGTAAACATCTTTAATTTACGTCTGGGGATTATTTCAGTGAAATTACTTGGTTAGATACACACATTTCAGAAGTGTTGACACTGAAATACACATTATCCAGAGTTGGTGCTCATATACATACCAATTACAAATTACAATTATTTCCCTCAAAATATTATGTGTCTTCATGCCTCTGACATTGGTCATGCTACCCCTTCTTGGTGGAATATCCTCTTTCCTTGTCCAACTTCAAAGTGTCAAAAACGTCTTATCTTATTTCCAGACTTACATAAATTGAACCCCTATATTGCTTTTCCAGAGCACTTGACATTAAATTGACTTGTATCAGCTCACTAAATTACTATTTTATTGTAAGTAATTCTTTTTACAACTAGATTTGAAAATCTGAGAGAATGATGGTTTGTCTTATTAGTTATTGCATCTTCTGACACCTTGTATATAGACTGTTTAGCACATAACTGACCCTAGCTCTTTGTTC